ACACACACACACACACACACACACACACACAGAGAGAGAGAGAGAGAGAGAGAGAGAGAGAGAGAGAGAGAGAGAGAGATTAGAGCAACAGATTGTGACAGACATGCTTTAAAGGTGCTGCTTGCAGTGACGCATTAGAATTTTATCAAATTCATGTGAATCAATCAATCATCTGTGCATAAGCAGGCCCTCAAGATCTCTTCCTCTATGAATTTATTACTTCTTAAGTAGAAGATTGTATTAGCATCTTTTTCCCAGCAGAGGCTGTTCTCTTTTGGCACATGTGATTGCCCTTTTCACTTTTTTCAGGCAGCAATGCTCGGCAGTACCTGGTTGGCAACTTGGCATAGATAAACTGTGATATCTCTTCTTGGGAGATATCCAGTCTAGTTGTTGTCGTGGCAGGGGTTCGGTGCAAAATCCGCTCTTTATTATTCTTTGTCGGCTGTTGTTTTTGTCAGGTAACAGTGGTGGGAAGCCTCTGCTTGACTGCAGTAGAGCAAGATTCTGGTAGTGTATGTGTAAGCGGATAAACAGATGTAATTTCACTACGAGTGCCATGGCAAAGGTGCTAGGAGGATTCTGTTGACTTTTAAGAAGTAACAGAGCCTCTGGGGTGGGTATTCTCTCCAGAATCAGTTCTTAGTTGTCGCTCGGCAGATATGGTTATGTTTGCCGGACAGCCGTGGTCAGCTGCATCCTGCTTGACGCACAACTAAGAATATTCCTTACTGCCATAGGCATTGTACTTTGACAACGAGTATGCGGGCATGTGCAGGGCAGCAGATAGAAGGGGTAGCAGTCGACTACAAGGAACAGCAGAGGCTATAGATTGCAAGCAAGGGGAAAATCGCCTTGTCGAACATGGATGTGCAGGTTCTTCTTAGGGTTGGATGTAGTAATAACTTCCCGTCGTCCAGGTGTTTGTGTGGTAAGTCGAGCAGCTGCCAGGTATCACAAGTGAGGCACTATTATAACTTTCCATTTTTGTGACTGAGATGCGGACCTGGAATCTGCCTCTGACACAATTGTGTGAGTCACGTCGAGAGTTTGTGACAATTTAATGTGAACAAAGAAAGAGAGACTCTGATCTGACGTAGGATCATGATAATATTCCTTTCATTTCCCGCGAGTTTTCAGAAGGGAAATGATATTTGTGATAGCAGACGGTGGTGGTGTGGAGGGGTTGCCAACTTGACAAGGATGCTGCTTGATTTTGGAAGTATGTAGGATCAGGGCCAACGGATGCAAGCAGAATGAAAAGGAGGTGAGGTGGACACAAAGAACCAGATACCATGTAAGTATTTTAACAGTTCCCAGACATGTAGATGGCCATAATGTCGGATGGCATAGGTTCTGCAGATTGAAGTAGAGAACAACGTATGGAATATTTGAGCAGTTTTCAGACGTGTAGCTGGTCATAGGTTCAGATGGCGTAGGTTCTGTAAAGAAGTGAATGATGTATGAAACACGGAAACAAGGTGAGCTTTATTTTCATATGGAAGGAAAATGTGTGGCCTTTAAATGTGAGGGTGTGGGCCACACAACCTACGGTCGATTTTACCCAATGGCAGGGTGCATGATGGACTTCCGGTTTCAACTGTGTCCGATAGCGTTAGTGATAGGTGCAGTGGGGCCAGTGACATAGATGTTCTGAAAATCTTGGGTCCTGGAAGCCTGGCGAGACTACAATCTGGGCTTCATTGTCGGAAAGCGCAGAGTGCGAGGGATCTTGGGCCCTACTGGTACATCTTTTGGTCAACGTGCGATAATTTCAAATGTTTTACAAACACAGGGCCTCCTCAACGTATCCCTATGGCCTTTGCAGTGGGATGTGATCCCTGGCCAGTCCAACACCTTTAGGCTTGGTGAAATGAAGGTCTGTTAGAATTATAATGCAACCCAGATCCGAGAAACTGGCACCATCAACACCATCTGTGAAACTCATGGTGCTCAAAGAATAGTAAAATAGGGAAGTAGATCCTCGAGACAAAGGAAAATGAGTACAGGAGGAGAAACTCAAATAATAGTCAATTGATACTATGTCCTGTCCTGTTGCCCCCGTTCCACCTCCAGGCTCCTCACTCCTCACTTGCCACCTCCATTGCTATCGAGCAGTGAAGCAAGAAATCTATTTTGCAAACACCTTGCCTATTTGCAAAGTTGCTCTCCGATGTGACATCTCTCAGAGGCAATGAAGACTAACACTGGTCAAAACTTTGCAGGGCCTCATAAGCAGAGCACTGGTTCTCCACTCACGGCAACACCAACAGGTAAGACCAGGTAAGCCTCCCTGTCTCTCTTTCCGCTCTCCACAGGAAATGATAACTCCCTCAAACCTGGTGTCCTTTCATGCTAAGCTGTGATGCATTTCTCTACTGTAGCTATGGCTACTCTCACTCCAGCTCTCACTCCCTGACTGCCTTCTCCCTGCGCTAGCTCTTGGAGACTGTTTCCAGCCTCAAGACAGCGCGAGGCTGAACGAATGCATCACTTGGGGCAGGTCTAGTATTTGTAGTTTTGACATGTCCTGACCTGGCCTCCAGTTGGCTAACCTAGGGCTGAAAAGTGGGTGTCCCTGTTTACAACTTGTGGCAGCCCAAGAGCCCAGGTAACTCGGAATTATACGGCTCTGTTCATGAAGGGATTCAAACGTGGGTCTGCATTTGAAGTTTGAACAGCTTATGGGGTACCAATTGAGCTAGGCCAGAAATTAGTTGAAGTTTGAACAGCTTATGGTGTACCAACTGAGCTAGGCAAGAAATTTCTTGATTTGTTCGTTGGCCTCAGGACATTCCAATCCTCCAACTCCCGCCCC